TTCCTGGGCTGCAGTCAGAATTCATAGGTTAGCTTCTTACAACAACATCTGTAAATGCACAGTTTGCCTGTTTTATCTGATTACAGTGATTTCTGGTCTTTGCTAGACTAGAACAGCCATTTTAGTGGAGAAGCCAAGGAGTGTGAGTGAGGGGTGCATGTATTTGTGTGAGATTAATTGCTGTGGGAGTTATTCCCAACCTGAGCTGTAAAAGCCTTGTCAAAAGCTGCATGTGACGGTGTGGCAGGCAAGGCTGCAGCACTGAAGGAAGTTTGGGGAGTATGGGCTTATCTGTTGGTTGTCATGTGGGGAAAACATGGGGAGGGAAGGTCAACTGAATCTTTTGGCTTTCTCAGAGATTGCTTCATCAGCTTGGTATGGAAGTGTTGCTCTTCACCGTGCCTTGGGTTGTGCACAGTGCCTCAGAGACCAGTAAATGTAGTGTTTCTGTCCAGATATGTGCTGGGATGCCCAGCTCAGGAGAACAGTAATTTCAAACCTTGTATGTCTGCTGAGAGGCTTACTCTTTTTCTTTAGTTGTTTGGAGATATAATCAAAATACTTCCAATCCTGCTGTCTACAGTATATTTTCCTATATAGCCCTGCAGAAAAAAAGAGGAGGGAGACTAAGGTGGGGAAATGCGTTGCCCTGGTTTCATAAAATAACTGTTAACAGAGTTGTTGGTGGAATCAAAATCACCAGGATTTTGTTCATTCGTCACAAAACCCTTTTCTGTCTCAGGTAGAACAGAGTTGCCCTGCATTTTCTTGGTGTGAGCTGTGCCCATCTCCTTTAGCCACCCTGCCACAGCTCATGAGCACCACCTCTGTGATGTCTCTGGCACCTCTAAAAATAGTAAGGTCTGCATGGGGATGGCTGGTATATTGCATCAGGTACAAGTGGGCAGAAAAGCCTCATTTTCTGACTAGGCAGATTTGACTAAATTGACAGCCATCAATATGGCATTTCTTACCCTGCCCATAAACCGTGGGGAATCATGGCGTGTAGCTGGTGGCTCTGTCTGTCTATCCCTGTGCTTCCAGCCAGGGGTTTTCCCATGCTGTCGTGTGGTACATTTGTAAGAGGGGACATCCAGCTACTGATGAAACACCATTGCAATTGGTATCTCTTCTTTTACAAGGGATAGAGCAGTAAAGCCATACACCTGCTTCCATGTTGCTCTAATTATTCCCTGTGCTTTGTAAACAAGGTGAATACTATTCTGGGCTGGATTCAGCAACCTTCTGGAAGCTGCTGCTTCCCTTTCCTTCTGCAGCAGCACACTGGGAGATGTTAAGAGACTCCTTGATATTTTGGGATATTGAATGACCAGATGATGCTTAAGAGCATCAGGTGCAGAGTAGGGGTGTGAGGGAATGGGCAGTGGTTTTGAAGTCTTGATCCCAGGGAGTGTTTGGCAAAAGGCTTCCCAGCAGGGCAGGGGAGTTGGGGGCTGGTGGGGATCCCACCAGGTTTTGGCAGAGCTGTGCTGGAAGGATGCTCCCTGGGCTTGTGGGACTGCCCCTGTGCCTGCAGAAATGGGTGCTCACACAGGGGACCCCAGTGGTGACAAATGGGCTGTCCTGGCTGCGTAGAGACATGTTGAGACATCATCGGTGGTGGAGATGGGGCTGGAAGCCCTGACAGGTCTGTGCCTGCGGTCAGACACGTATGTGACTGTGCTCTGCCTGGCACCTCATGTTGCCCCTGGGCCCTGCTGGGGCCTGTTGGCTGGGCTGGGCTGGCTGGGCCAGGTTCAGGCCCTGGACTCACTCACTCCCGCAGTGGTTCCGTGGGCCGGGAGGAAAGGTGCTCCCTGCCCTGTCTCTGCGGCTCCAGAGCAGGAGGGATTTTCCATCTGCAAACAATGGCTGATGACACGGCCTGACAGTGGCTGGCGACAAGACATGGTGGGTGTGGAGATGCACAAATGAGCCCTGGCAGGGGAAACAGGGCATTTATTGTAATCTGAGGCTGCTCTGGAAGCCTATGCTGCAGAAGCCTGTCTATTAAGTCAGACTCATTTCCCTGTAACTGCTTCATTCTCTTCCTTTCTTCTTCCTCTGTCTCTTTCTGTCTGGGTGCACTCCTGAATTATGCCAGAGCCTGTAGATAGAGTGTCATTTGGATTTTACTTTGTTATATCTTTTCCTCATAGTTGGTGGGTGGGTCCAATGCTGCCCTGTCTCCTGTGGGTGCAGGGGGTGTCTGGCAGCCGGGCTTGGGTGGCAGCAGCACCCGGTCCCCTCAATGGGCTCCTTGTTTGTGCTCCAGCCATTGTGGACCTCACCATTTTGTGTACTAACATAGTTAGCACTGAGCAGCCCTTCGTATCTGCCGCAGAATGACCATTTGTGTTTGTGGGCAGGCATATTTTCAGAGTTCATGTTAGCAGTTCATTCAGTAATTGTGAAGTGCCGCAGTCTCTACCCCTGTGCCATCCATGCCTGTCTCCCTCTGCTTTCTCTGCTCTGATGTGTGGGGAGGGGCAGGCCAGCACCAGTGTTTGCTGGCACCCCTAGACTCTAGTGAGAATGAACTCCAGGGCCATCAGGAAGGCAAGTTGGGAAGGTTTAAAGAGTATGAGCAAGACAAAAAAAATGAAGGCTCAGTCATGTTGTTGGATCTGGGCAGGCAGACTCTTTTTTCTTATCATGTAAGCTAGGTAAAGCCAGAGGGGATTTTTCAGGGCATAGGGAGCCAGTTATGTCTGAGAAACTCTATGTACATTTGGCTGAAATATAAAACAAATACTTTCTTTCTGTGTTTCTAATCATGGTCCTGATTCTTACATAGCTGATGTCTGATATTGTTGCTTGATAGTTTCTCTCTACGTTTCTTGTACTGTTACTTGAATACTGATCATTTGCATCCACAGGAGCTGTGGCTCAGCTGCTCACCCCCTGTGTCTGACAGACTATAAGCAACTGGCTGTGGTCACACTTTGCTCTTTTAGGTGTTTCTGAGCTTAAAACTACAGAACTGTTAGTGAGATATCAATTGGAGAGGAACAAATGGAAGGAGAAGCACCCTGTGCCAGGGGAGCAGGAAAATTAGTGGCTTGTCAACAGCCTTTGTTTGTGCTCGGGGTCCTCTGCCCCAAAGCTGAGCATCACCTGATGTGTGCCCATGGGGAGAACTGGCCCAGGGGCCCGGATGGGACTCATGGGCCAGCACCACCCAGCTGTCCTGCCTTGGCTGTGCCTGGGGAAGAGACCAGGTGAGAGGTGTTAATGCCCCCTGGTTGCTTGTCAAGGCCCATATCTTTGTGTGCTGCTGGGACCTGGTAAAGCCAGATGTTTAAAGGAGCCATGTGGCATGGTCTGTGATCAGCAATGTGCCCTTGCTTTCAGACTCCCCTTAGACAGCCACATTCTGCTAGTCCTTTGCACTGGTGTGTTAGCTTAGGTCAGGGGAGAACGGGAGCTGGCACCAGGTCTGCATGTCAGGGAAGACAGTGGGTGAGATGGGAACAGGGGAACAACTCAGCCATGTGTTTTTCCTGGTGAGAGGCTGAGCTCCCAATTGGTGTTAAGCTGTGCTGAGCCAGGAAGGCAAATCCCTGTTCCTGGGACTCAGTACCACCGTGGGACTGCCCTTGCCTGGGAAGTGAGGAGGGACTGTGGCTCTTCCCTGCACCAGCAGAGCTGCAGCCGGGGCTGAGCGCGCCGTGCGTTCTGATCCTCTCCCCACCCAGTTCCTTTGTCTCGACTGTGTGGATGAGGCTGCTGCAGAAACGCACTCGGGTCTCGCTCGGGCTTTGGCTGCTGCCAGCTGCAGGGACACGGGGGGATTCTCTTCCATCCTTCTGTTGCCAGGGAGGAAGCTGCAAATTACCACCACAGTGATGATACTTCCAGAAATTACCCCAGGGGCAGCAGATGAAGAACGAACCCAGTTCCCTGTAGAGGCATTAATTGTGCAAGACCTTCACAGCCTGAAGGCTCCTGTCAGCCGTCCAGCCTTGGGCTGTGACGGGGGTGTGTTCACATGCCAAAACCTGGGCTGTGCAGAGGGGAAAGTCAGGGGAGCTTGAGGGTCGGGGCATTGCTGGAGGCATTTTGAGCAGTCAGGAAGACTGTGTATTTTGTGGAACAGCACAGTCAGCTGATGTGAGATCAGGCTGTTTACCCTTATCTGCCTGAAGCTGGTATTCAGATCCGTGCAGGTGGAGGCAGAGGAGTGGGACCTCTGCCTTCCCGGTTCCTTAGGCTCTGATCCCCACAGGACAGTGTGTGCTGGTTGCCCAGATCCAAAATCCTGAGTACAGGAAGAGCATAAGAGCTTTTCTGGTCCAGGTGCTCCTCCACTGTCTGGCTGTGCTCCCTTGGGGAAGGCTGTTGGCCACTGAGGTTGGTTGAAGGGGGAGCCGAGGAGGTGGTAAATGGTGAGGCAGGAATGCAGTTCAGTGCCACCTGGGTCTTGTGTAGACGAGTGATGTTGTGAAATGCCTCAGAAGGACTACCCTGAGCATTGTAGGGGAGGGACAGATTCCAACAGCAGATGCATCATCTTCAGGACTGCCTGTCCTGTTGGTGGTCTTTGCCAGGTGGTAACACATGAGAGAGAAATAAATTGTCTTCTTGAATGCAATTTTTTTTTTGCACGCTATTTGGGTAAATTTTAAGGACATGCCCATAGTAACAAACTTGCTCTAAATACTGGTGTGTGGCTTGTGCTGCCTGCAGACTTATGTGCATAATGACCTGGTGTAGGAAGCTTTTGGCTTCTCTCTGTGTATTTTATAGTAGCATATTTGCAGTGACTCTCCTTTGTACTCATTCTGCCTCAGTGGTGTCTCTGGCATCACCAGTTCCATTCAGAAACAGCCCTACAAGCATGGTTTTTTTTCAACTCTTGCTCTTGTCTTGCTGTTTCAAGTGTTGGTGTGAGCTTCTGCAGTGTCAGCTGTTGGGATGAGCTGTCTGATGCAGCAGAAGAGCACCCAAGAAGGGCTCTGTGCTGCCTGTTGCTGATAACTGCTGTGTTCTTCTCTCCACAGAGTGACCGTCTCCTCATCAAAGGGGGGAGAATAGTCAATGATGACCAGTCATTCTATGCAGACATTTACATGGAGGATGGCCTCATAAAGTAAGTATGGGACTTTGTTACCTCCATCTCCCCCAAAATCAGCTTCAGGTTGGATGGTTATTTGCTTTCTGTGGAGGTGGTCTGTACCCAGCCTGCCTGCCAGTAAACCTTGGTAGCCTGCTCTGGTTAGAGGCTCAGCTGTCTGCAGTGTGTGTGAGCACAGAGGTGATTGCCTGGTGTGTTCACATGGTGACCCCAGTGATTGGGCTGCAGTTGGGCAGTGATTTTGTGACACAGCCCCACTGTACCACGAAGCTCTGTGTGATTGTGCCAGGAATGAGATTTATCTTTGACTCTGTTTTGCCCCATGTGAACAGTGTTAGCATGAATGGCCCTGCACAAGATCCCATTTGTGAGCACCAACAAGGACAGTGCTGTACTGCAGGTCATCTGTATCCCTGAGATTTTCAGGAATTGCAGGCCAACCTCTGGGTTCCCCAGTCTCCTCATGGGTGTTTCAGAGGTGCAGTGATAACTACATTGTTTAAAGGCTGCAGTTCAAATGTAGCAAATGTACCATATTGGGACCAGCTCCAAGCTGTGTGAATTGAAAGAAACATGACAGTTTATAACAGAGAGACTTTAAAAGGCATTACTTGTTCATTCTGTTCTGAATACAGTGAGCAGTTTAAATCCATTGTTGATGGATTTGTCTCAATAAAAGTGGTGAAAAGAGCTGCTGGTTTATTGCTGTGCAGATCCTGCGGCGAGCAGCTCTATCCACAGAATTTTTGTTATTCTGAGGAAAAAAGCCTGCAAAGTGACTAAGGTTGAATGAAATGCAAAAATGGAATTTGCTCCTCATTTGCCCCCTTAATTTGCCAAGGAAATCAGAAGTTTTCCACTAAAACCAACTTGCCTTTTATCTTGATTTGTCAGGAAAGACTGAGGAAGGCTTGATGAAAATAGGATTTCTGAAAGAAGAGATTTGAAGGCTGAGTGCTACATATGGACAGATAAAGGGATTGAGGGGGTGGGGGCCTGAGTGAAGGGAGTCCTAAGGCTCAGGAGGACTGGCTAGGTCTAGGGAGGACAATGTCATGTACTAGAACAGCACAAACTCCAGAGCACCATAGTGGTATTTTAGGTTGTGAGTAGCTATATGCTGGAACTTTTTAAGTTTCCTGTTTTCAGAAGATATTTTTAGGTACTTGTGATTGCCTTAACTACAACATAGCCCTGCTGATAGCACAGATGTCCTTCAGGGCATGAAGGACACAATGTGAGAGGGGAGGACTCAGTCTCCTCTCCTTGGGAAGAGGGAGCCCAGAGCTTCCAGGCTGTGCTGCCATCCCAGCTGGGCTGTAGCCAGCTGTGCTGTGTTCTTTGGGAGCTCCACCCCAGCTCCCCCGGGGGAGGCTTCTCTTGACCCTTGGGATTTATGTGGTGAGCAGCATTACAAGTCCCTGATGTGTCCTGAGCTGGCCTGGCAGATGTGGCATTACAGTGGGAAATCATCCTTCTCTGTCAGTAAGTATCAGACTTGAGCCTCACTTAAGGTGGGCAGAAGGACGGGGGAGAGGAGAGATTAGAGGTGCAGCTTACTGGAAGCAGGGCTGGTTTTGTGGGTGTGCACACTGGGTGAACAGGTAGGATTGCTATGCTGGATATGCTTGCAAGAGCCTTATGGGGTGTGAAGCGTCCTGAGCAGCTTCTGGCCATACACTGCAGAGATCTGCATGCCCATCAGACCATACTCTCCAGCTAGACCAGCCCAGTGCCTGTCCCGGGCAGCAGCTGCCATCAGAGGCACCATCAGAGCAGTCAGACAGATGGCAGCCACCCCTGGACTGTGGAAATCTTAGGCTTAATCCAGCTGGATGATCCACGTTTTGCTGCAGAGTGGGTGGTTTCACTCTGCTGGCTCCTGGCAGCCCAGTTCTGGGACAGGGAAGCAGTGGGGCATTTCTGTGGTGGGGGGATCTGACCTGGCTCCTCTCTAGCTGAGCTGCTCATTGATGATGTTGTGGCTGGTTTTCCTTTCTGGATGGTCACCCTCTTGGTATAATTTCATCAGGCAGATTGGAGACAATCTTATTGTCCCTGGAGGGGTCAAAACCATAGAGGCCAATGGGAAGATGGTGATCCCAGGAGGAATCGATGTCCACACTCGCCTGCAAATGCCATACAAGGGGATGACAGCTGTGGATGATTTCTTCCAAGGAACGAAAGCAGCCCTGGCTGGTGGCACCACCATGATCAGTGAGTGCAGCAGGCAGGTCCTGTACATGACAGCACTCTTGGAATATTGCTCAGTTATTTCTTTTTCTCTTTGCTCTTCTCAGTTTTCTTTGTTTTAAAAGTGCTCATCTTTTCTGTGATCTGTGTCACTGCAGTCTAGAGAGTGAGAATTGGGATGAATCTTTGGGATCTTTGCTAATAATGGAGTGCTTGGACAGGAGATTTGCGTACGAGCCCTTGCCCTTGTGGATCTCGTGGTCTTTGTGTTCAGTGCTTTATTGTCTGCAGCCATGGGTGCCCCTGGAACCCTCAAAAAGGAACAATGGCATAACTTCTTTCCCTGTTAAATTAAAATAGGGCAGCATGATGCTCAGATGACTCTGAGCTGAGGAACAAAGCAATGTCCTGGCATCCCACACTGCTCAGAAATAAACAGTGCTAACGAAAAAGGAAAGGGAATTCTGAGGCCCTTCCCTGGAGAAGGCCACGGTTGTGCACTGGTTTGAGGTCCCGGTTCTACTGCTGTGCAGTGGTCACAGCTGTGTGCACTGCAGGGTTTCTTGGGTTGCAGGAGCAGCTACTGATCCTTCCAGTAAAGAACAGGGTTTCTTATTCTCCACCCACCAGTTCTCCTTTCCCTGGGCCAAAATAATAAGTTGTGTGAAATGAGCATGGGAATTACATGGTGGGCAATAAAGGTGCATTAGTATTGTAGTGTGGGAGGAGGCAGCGAGTTAATGGGGTGGAAATGGGGGTGAGGAAGGAAAAGGTCCATCAGCTTTCAGCTGATTTCTCAGCAGAAGCCTGTAAAACCCCTGGTCCTGTGCCAGAGACCGCTAAGCACAGGCTCTTAGTGCTTTGCCGATAAGTGCACTTAGAGGAGCCCAGGCGCGCTGTGGAGGTGCTGAAGACCTGCTGAGGGTGTGGGGTGGGATGGCGGGAGGGGAGCCTGGCCAGGGAGCACCAGCCCTGCCCCTGTGCCCCTGCAGTGGACCATGTGGTGCCGGAGCCCGAGTGCAGCCTGGCGGAGGCCCTGGAGCGCTGGCGGGAGTGGGCGGACGGGAAGGCCTGCTGCGACTACGCGCTGCACCTGGACATCCCCCGCTGGAGCCCCCGCGCCCAGCAGGAGCTGCACACCCTGGTCCAGGAGAAAGGTTTGCTGGGGCTCGGCCAGCTGCCTCCCCGTGCTGCGGGGTGGCCCTGGGGAAGGGGGTGGGGGGCCGTGCTGTCCCCGTCCTCCCGCTGGGATCCTCTGCGGCTGCCAGCAGGGTTGTGCCCTGTGGAGGAGTGGGAATGGGTGGCCACCCCAGCAGGGTCCTGACACGGGTCTGGCTCACCCCTCTGTCCTCTGCCCCTAGGAGTGAACTCTTTCATGGTGTACATGGCCTACAAGGATTTGTACCAGATGTCAAACACCGAGGTGAGCACCTCATGGCATGGCCAGGCGGTGGCTGAGGGGCCCAGCAGCTGCCGAGCCCTGCGCCGGCCGGGGCGCCCTGCCTGCTCAGACTCATCTCTTCTCATTTCTGTTTTAGCTCTATGAGATATTCAGCTGCCTGGCCGAGCTGGGTGCCATAGCTCAAGTTCATGCAGAAAATGGGGACATAATTGCACAGGTGACTAAATACTCTTCTGGTATGTGGGGACTGAAAATCTGCCACAGGCAGATTGGGTGCGGGGCATTAACAAAATCATTCTAAAGCTGCATGGGTGTCTTTTTGCAAAGTGGTCTCTTTGCTATTCAGCAGCAGTAGTATCAAATTTATCAAGATTTTCTGCTGTGAATGTGTAGTGCATAAGCAAATCTGAAATAGTCAATTAGTGATTATCTAAATGCAGAAGAGTGGGCCATCAAGTAGGGTATGTTCATTCCAACCACAGTTCTTTATTTCAGTGTGGAGAGGCAGAGACCTTTGCCTTGCACATAGTCAGCTGAGAGTGCCACAGCAAGAGAGGAATTTTCTCCCTGCTGTAAGCAGGCAGCCAGCAAATGGAGCTGTATTTGCAAGGGGATTGTTATGATGGATGTGGTTTTGTGTTCAAGCGGGCAGGCTTGTTGTAGTTGCTGCTGGATGAGAGAAAGTCCAAATGTTTTGATTTTCATTAAGACAGAGAAGACATTGCTCAGTTATGCTCTGCAACTACTTGTTTTTTTTCTCTTATCCTTAGTTGAAAGAGGTTGAACTAAGACACCATTCTTTTAACATCCTCTCAGACTACAGGAATCAGTTTTTCTCTGGACTTGTTAGAGCTGCAGTGCACAATTGGATGTCTCTTTCACATGAAAGCAAAAAGAGATCAGAGGAATTGTCTTGGTCAGAGTTTATCTCTACTTCAGCACCAGTCTAACCACAAAATGCCCCAAAACTATCAGCTGGTAGCATTTCAAGGGAAGAAACGTGCTGCATGGCACGAGCAGGAATAGGACCTGAGCAGAGCTCCAGACTTCAGGTCTGACGTGCTGTAGGTGGTGGGAGAGTGCTTCATGGTGGGCAAAGAGCAAGACCTAAGAAATGTTGGCACTTTTGCTGTGGCAGAGAAGGTGGCAGAGGAGGTAACATGAAGCACTTACTTGCAGTGCAACTTCATCCCTTGAGACTCTTTTTCAACAGCTGTGAACACATCTGTTATCACTGCTGGAGTTACATAGTCCTGATGCAGATTTGTGGCAGTATTTAATACCCATAATGTGCTCAGTACTCTACAAGACACAACAAAAAATACATAAAGCTGCTTGCTTGAAGGCTTAGTAGTACTGCTGCTGTGTATCCACTTCACTGTGCAGAGTGGTCCCACAGGACACAGGGTGGTGGCAGTCCCAAGGAAAGGGCTGGGCACAGAGATCTGCTTTTCTATGTGGTTGATAGTTTCACAGTCTTGTAACATTCCTCTGTCCTTTTAATGTCCTAGGAACAAACCAGGATGTTGGAGATGGGAATAACCGGCCCTGAGGGCCACGTGCTGAGCAGGCCTGAGGAGGTAAGATGCAAAGGATGGTGCCAGCCTTGCTGCACCGAAGAGCTTTCCCCAGCAGTCAGAGCAGGGCTTGGTGCATGTCATGGGACCACACAGGAAGCACTTCCTGGTTCATCAGCAGCTCAGCAAAGAGCCAGGTGTGCGTTTGCAGAAAACGTTTTTCAGTCATGCTCAAGTTTCCTGGTAAAGACAAGGGCTTCTAGGTCTCCCAGAGATTAATCAATCAACAAAAAGGTCTGTATGGCTGTAGCAGCATTTGGGGCTGGTTTGGGGGCCTTGGTCTTGTATAGGTGACTCCATGGGTGTAAGAGGCCTGAGAAGACTCAAATGGTGAGTTTCAGTTCCTCTGAAAATTCGCTGTTCATGTCGGTCTGAGTGTAGACAGATTCCAGCCTCTTCCTGCTTAATCTCTGCTTAGGGTCTAAAGTGTGCTTCAAAATCAGACAAAGCCATTGGTGGAAAGAGTGGGAGGGAAGGCG